GTCACTTTTATTGTCCGTTTCCATATTAAGATTATGGGGAAGAAAAAGAATCTAGAGAGAGAAAAGAAAATTGTAAAGAAGTCTATAGAAACAGTTAATAACTATAAGAACAATACAAACGAAAGAGAAAGAGGAAGACAATTGAAAGAGAGAAAGAGAAAGGTAGAGGGAGAAGATTAGCATTCCGAAAACGAATCGACCGGACGTATGTTAGATGAGATCCCAAACTGGTGAGAAGGACATGTTTCAATTATAGCCCTGAGTAGCATCTCGTCGTTCGAACATGTCCAACGTGCGTTGATCCCGGACCCAATCCCACGCACTTTCATCTTCAAAATCCATGAAAAGAAACATATTGGATAATAAGGATAGGGAGATATATCGAGAGAAAATTGTGAAAAATGAAAGAAAGTGATTGTATGAAGGGGAGGGGTGAAACAATCTTCCAAAAAGAATTATTTGAATTCCGAAAGGGAAACGTGAAAGAAAATTATGATGTGAAGCGAAAGTTCGTTTCAGTCAGAACATCCAGACGTTTGACGGATTAGCAGAATGAATAAGTTTCAACTTCATAAGTGTTTTTTATACAACTTTTTATTCTCTCTTGGTTTCGAATGACCTTCATATTCGCCACCTCGGCAGGTTTTACCTCGTCTACATCGTTGACGTTGTTTCCTCTCCACATGGACGTCCTCACAACTCTTCATGAGAACTCATATATTATAAAAATAAGATCTCGAATATTTCCAATCAATTTATTTGTATCTATATTAGGCACTTGCTAAACTCTAGCAAAGAAAGTTTATGATTTTTTTATTGCTACAACACCCTCCTGTCGCTTACTTTCGTTTGTTTTTTTGTTCCTCCTGTCGTTTTTCATCTACTTTTTTTGAAATTTTCATTCTTTCCTTTCGTCGTATTAGAATGGCAGCACCAACAAGGTCATTGTCGTTTTGTCCCGAAAGTCAGTACTTTGGCTGGAATGGCCAATTGCTTCTACATCCTTGTCATCTTCCATTTCTTTTTCTTCTTCTTCTTCTTGTCTCTTTCTTTTTCTTTTTTTTTCATTCATATACTGTCTTTTCACATCGAAATCCAACATCGTCTGATGATTGGCTACCGGTTGTCTTCCTGTATGACTGACAGCACTCTTGAAGATCAATGTTTAGCATTTTTTTTAAGGAAAATGATTAAAATGACTAATTTTTTGTTGACAATTAAATAGATAGTGAGCTGCTTTGAGAGAAATAGAGCATTTCTTATCTATTCCTTTGCTTCTCTTGTTCTTGATTAAGCTATCTCTCCATCTCTGACTCTCTCTACACTTTCCCTTTATCATCAAGAGATATTGTTCCATTTGTTCTTTTTCCTTTTTATTTATAAAGTTCCTTTATGAAGTTTAATTCTGAGTTTGTTTTTTGTCTTTTTTTCCTACTTCGATTCCTTCTCTTCTTCCACACATCTCCTTCCCCCTTTTTACGGGCGAAGTTATTCCCCCCCTATCTACCTTTTCTCGATTCCGCTTCATTTTCTCTCTACGTCATTTTTTCTCTTTCAATACCCTTTCAACTATGTTTCTTTCGGTTTTCGGTATGATATAAAGCATAAGCTTCATGGTTATAATGGTTCTGGCATCGATTGCTGATAACTAGATCGATTTTTCCTGATTTCGCCATCATATCTCGCATTCATTGCTTTGAGAGAGTTTACTTTCAGTTACTTGTGTGCTACCATCGTTGTTTTTTGTTTGAAATATCATTATTTTTTCTAATTCATCAACATGTTTCTTTCAGATGGGTGAGGACCGTGGAGATGGTTCATCTGCAACTCCACCGGCTCCCTTCGGTGTTGTGTCCTCCGGACAAACTTCCTCTTCATCATCTTCGTCTACATCGTCAACCACAAGTGTACCGTTTACAACGCCCTCAACAGGCAAGTTCAGATACTATTTAATTTAATTATTCCAAATAAATCCCATAATTTGATTGTTTTGCTTCGTGCCCACCTTTGAGAATAAAATCATGAGGAAAGGAAAGAATAAAATTGAATAAGCGAAAAGAAAAACTTCTTGATTGTTTTAAGACAAGGATTCACATTATTCGGTTTATCAGTTTTCCTTTATTGAGTGGGGTATTGTTATCAGTTTTCAATTTTCTTTCGTTTCAATAATTATTCTGAAAAACATCAGAGCTTTCGTATCTTGCTCATCTTGCCAAAATTGTGCTTAATCTTTCAAAACACGACGGATACCTTTTGTTTCCGACGTCACACTTTTTTCCAACTCAGAGTTGAGTTGTTTATTTAGTGCATCATTATAATGAACTAAAGGGTGGAGAACCGAAAACAAAACCCAAAATTGTCCCTTCTACTCTGAAAGATAGCGATTTCGATGTTATCCGATTAAGACGTTGGTCACTAAGGACCTGTTCACACCGATTGTGGACATCGCGTCTAGCTAATGTCCTATGCAGTTTTGCTGACGACCAGATTTGTGAAATTTCAACCTTTTCTGCAACGAAACAGAAACATAAACTTGAACTTTAATATATCGAAGAGAAAAAAAGTTACTCCGTTTAAGGCGATACAACGAGGTCAGAAATAGATTGGCTCTATATATCAGATGAAGCTTTTACCGCAAAATGTGTTTTCCACGTGCCGGACAAGCCAACACCAAAAGTAACTAATACTTTTTTTTCACTCTTAATCTTCTTTTTAAGGATTCAAAGAACAAAGCTATTACATCATTACCACTTAACTTAACAATACGATCGTCTGCCAAAGACCCATCGAAGATGTCAATTTGGTCTTTGGATTATATACCTCCTGGTGTTCGCTTCGGTCCACTGGTTGGAGAAAACAGATCTGTGACTCCAGATGCTGCAATGGTTTTTCCAACAGAAGCATCTGAAGCAGGAGGTGATCGAAAGACTTCAGTCTCAAAAGAAACTCCAACAGAATGGAAGGTATCAATATGGGGAAGAACACCAAACAGTTTTTGTTAAAGATTATGTCTCCATCCGGTGGACGAATAATGAAAACGATTAATGTTGAAGATGATTCACGTTGTAATTGGATGAAATATGTGAATGTAGCGACATCCACAGAAGAACAGAATCTCGTAGTTTGCCAAGTACGATACTCTATAATTTCTAAATATATAATTATCGGTTTAGGTTGAAAGGGAAATTTACTTCTTCTCCATACGTGCAATAAAAGAAAATAGTGAGTTAACCTTCTGGTATAGCAGTGACTATGCTCAAAAGCTTAAGTATCCGATCTCATGTGAGTTACCTCGTATAGGTGAGCCATTACCCGAGTCGACGTTTTTTTTAACTAAGTTGTGTTCAGTTCCTTTAACAACACCCAGCATAACTTCCAAACCTGTCGCTTGGTCCCCAGTTCCGGAAAGAGCTGCTTCGCCTAGTATCGAATATACTTTGAAGAAAGACACGATTGAAAGTAGCCGTTCGGAAAAAGCTGCTGATGCAGATAGTGGCAATAACAGTGACTCGGAAACATCGCCACTACAATCTGATGATGCTGCAAGCGAAAAAAGCAATTCAACAAGGTAATTTTATTTGTTATGATGTTAAATTCGCATGTTTTTTAGCTGTTCACCACCAAGTATAACTGAAATTCAAGCTCGGCCTAATGTCATACAAACTCCATTACATCGTCCAGTTCCCACAAGATTGCCTCCACTCGGGTTAACAGCTCCCAATCCAGCTGTTGTCCGACCGTGCCCACTTAATCCTTTGAGCTTTTTTCAAGATTATGTACGCAGGCATCATCAACAACTGAATGAACTAGGTTTATTACCATAATATCAAGATTTGAATAAAACATTTTGTTTAGTTACTGGTGTGTGGGTTCCACAATCCACTCCTGCTGCAGCTGTGGCTGCTGCTGCCTCTCGGATTACTAGTAGTGGTCAACCGCGTGATGCTCAACCGGTTTTGGCTGCGACAGCCGGTACTCCTTTCGGTAACTATTCGGGATTATATGGCAGTCAAGTAAGTATTCAACGGATATTTTTTGGATAACAGTTTTTCTCAGGAGATTAAACCTCTCTTTCCATCCACACCAACGTTTGTCGCTGGAGGTCTCTCCGGGCACTTTGCAGGTGGTGGCGGCGGGGGTGGCTCCAATAGCAGTGGATTTCACTCTGCCAATTTTCCTCCGTCTAGTACACCAGCTCCTACTGATAACTATAACGTACCGAAGGTGTGTCGATACACATTTTACTATATTAATTTAACTTTTTCAGTATGTTCAGCAACAAGAAAATGGTAAAACGCGTTATGCATGTAAAGAATGTAATAAAACATTTGGTCAGCTCTCGAATCTCAAAGTACATGTTAGGTAATTTTCCGAATTTCAACGTAAGAGAGTGAACGTATTTTATTCCAGAACACATACGGGTGAACGTCCTTTTAAATGTCAAGTGTGTGGAAAAGAATTCACTCAGTTAGCTCATCTTCAAAAGCATAATCTTGTTCACACGGGCGAAAGACCTCATCGTTGTGAAATTTGCGACAAACGGTTCTCATCAACATCAAATCTGAAGACACATTTGCGTCTTCACAACGGTCAAAAGCCCTACGGATGTGATGTCTGTAATGCCAAGTTCACGCAGTATGTACATTTACGCCTTCATAAACGACTGCATGCCAATGAACGTCCATACTCATGTAATTCTTGCGGAAAGAAGTATATAAGGTATTACATACAATAACTTTCTTCGTGTATAACAGTAATTGTTTGCAGTCCGTCAGGATTGAGGACCCATTGGAAAACAACGCTTTGCAAACCAGATGACAAAGAAATGAAGGTTATTAAAGAAGAAGAAGATGTTACCTCAACCACTCCTCTCTTGTTAACCAAAGATCACACATCATCATCATCCAATCCAATACCCATGGATAGCATGCAAATGAAGGCAAATTTATCAAACTTTTTTTTTTAATTCATTTTGTGCTTTATAGATTCATCATCAAGGTATGCATAGTAGTATGTTGAATGCAGAACAGGCAGATCTTCATGCTCAGATGTCTATGGGACCGAGCCATTTAGGTCCCAATGTTTCCAACTATGGATTACCTCCATCCCTCGGCGGCCCTCAACAGGTTGCTCCTAATATGCTCTGTCCGGGAGTGATGGCTCAGGGAACAAACTCTCAAACTACATCATCAGCACAAGCAGCCCATCAGTTAACGTCCTTATCATCAGGATTGAGTTCATCGATGGCCTCTCCTTCCTCCTCCGGATTGCATGATCCAACCAATCCATTACATCAGCCCTTACGCTTACCAGAATTGAATTCGTTGAAGCACGGGATGCTTTCTGGATTGAACTATCATCTCTGAGAACGAAAACTCCCGAGAGATATTAGTAGATTAACTTAGAACCTTAATATAACTGGTATTTAATATATAATGAATGCTGAATAATCTATATTATTTAGCCTTTTGCGTTATCGTACTTGTAGCACAATGTTGTCATTAAGATCAAAATCATCCAGCAACCTCCAATCTTTTTTTTCCGGCTGATGGAGTTTGTTAAACTTCTCACTTAGAGCATTTTCTTTTCTAGACACTCTGTGCTTGTGTGTAAATATCGAGCAATACGAGTTTCTTGAACGAATATTTCTATCGTTTTATTATTTTTGTTAAATACTCTCGTGGCTTTAGCAATATTATTCTCTTTTTCTTCGATCAAGACTGTTTTCTAGCACTTGTTGTATATGAGATAGTTCGGATGGTAGGGACAAATAACTTCAATTCCTCAAACACTTTTCACTTTATCCTTATGTGTATATCTAACTGTGATTTTCTGTGCAACACAATCAAAAGGCGTATTTCCTTGGCCTTAACTAAATTATTCCCAATTTGTTCATAAACTAAATAAAAATGAATAATAAAGATAGAATGATTTTTTTTTCGTTTCCAATTTTTTTCTCGTTTTTTCCGCGTTGTACAAGGTTGAATACAGCCAGATTCAGATTTGGCAATGTTCAGAAACCTTGACGATTTCGAAAAGTGAAATTGTAAGAAAGGAGTCTATGTACATAGGCAGTGGTTAACGTTGCAAAGAAAATCCATTTCGAAATTCAATGACGTATTAAAAAATTTCGTTGAAAGATGTTCGCAGGGTTCTTAGCATATGGGAGAAAGTTATACTCTTGGGGCAACCAACGAAATATCACTTTATATAATTATACTCGTGGAAATTCCATCTGAAGGAGAAATGGAAACATGTGAGCATCCACGAGATTGCCTAAATTATTTTCAGTCGGCACAGAAAAGACATTGTATATTTGAAACAAATTTCAAAAATTCGCATATTGAGATGCGCCACCACACGTAGTAATCATTTCATATTCATAAGTCGCTCAGACGGTTGTGTCCGAAATAGGGTGAGTGAAACTGCCAACATAAGCGCACATGAAGCTGTGACGTACAGTTCGTAAGAAAGATCAAGAAAGATCAGAAACGTTTGTATGGAGTAGCACTAGTTGCACTCGTTTTACAAGTTTATTCAATCAATAATCATGAAACTGTGAGCTTTGCTCACTCGTGCCAGTATTAACGGGTGAACCGTGGAAGAGCGGTTATTTTTGGGGATTCTCTTGTTAAATATTAATTTTCAGTCTTTTTAGTCTAATCATGGTCAAAACATTCTCGTTCAAGAAGAACCAACTTTTTTCATACAGCAAGGGGTATGTATGCAGATTAGGATAAGAGCGAATTTATCAATTTAAGACCAGAAAGAAAAAATGACTCTAATGTTCGAATCCCGACTACAATTATTCCCCAATTGGATATAAAGGTGAATTGAGAGCAGCGCATAATTTATAAGAAGCTTTACAGACAATGGCTATGGCTATTTGTGCGGCCTACTTTTTCGGTTACTTATACTATGCTCATCATAACGCTCTACATGCTCATAAATACATTGAACTAGTGCTGGGGATTTTGATTTTTTCAATTTTCTTTGTCGCGTTAGGAACGCTTGGAGTGATCCGAGAGAATATCGCTCTGATTGTTCCTTTTTGTGTTTGTCAAGTAGGCATGGTGAAAAAGGTTATGAAAAATAATAGCTTTAGATATTAACTTTTATTGCCACAATACTTGCTTGGGGATACATTGCGTATTTCTTCATCGATCATAAAGGATTTGATCACAGTTTTATCGGTCTAGTTGACTTCAGAAGATTGTCTGAACGTCTATTCTTTTCAGCTCGTGCAGCCTTGGTTAATTTCAATGCTGCTTTCTTATGTTCTCTTCAATTTTATTGTTGTAGCATAATGAACCGACTAATCTCATACTATCGACGCAAGAGAGTAAGTATATTCAGTAGAAGCAACTCAATTCTGGATTGTTCAGGAGAATGCCACTCGTTTCTATGAAGAGTTGGCCAGGTGTGCGAGTATGGATCTGTGTGATGATGTAGTCATTTTCAAGAAGTAAATGTTATAGGATCTTTCGAAATGATTTAATGAATCTTCATCGGTTGCGAGAAGGTGAACGAAAATCTCTGTTATATACCTGTGATATATTTTTTTTCTCTAGCAACGTGTTTTTGATCTCGTAAATTTCAATATGTTTTATGATTTTTCTTGGTGCTCATTATAAAAGTTTGAATTTCAATGTGACCGGACTATTAACACCTGAAGGAAAGCACTTAAAGGACAGTGAGAGGGTTCAACGATATGATACAATTATTACATGTTGACGATTCAAGAATCAATTAGAGATGCTAATTGCTTTTTCAGGGGATAACTATTGGAAGAACCAATCAGGTGGCTGAACGAAGAACACTCCTCCATCTGTAGCACAGTAGGTCGGACAAACCTTAATTTTGTTAAACATTTATTATATACTACAGGTATTTCTTACTCCCTTTTCTCCTTCATCACCTGAGTCGCCCATAGGTCCTTCCAATCCTACAGCTCCTTTAGAACCAGGGAACCCATCTTTACCTTTTTTCCCCCTTGGTCCCATTGGGCCATGGTGTCCATCTATACCAGGCATACCAGGTGGGCCTAAGAGATTTTTTTCTTAGTCATAAATACCGCCTTCATCTACCTGGAGGACCACTTGGCCCTTCTTCTCCCTGCTCTCCCGGTGGACCAGGAATGAACGGTTGTTGAACAGCATCGGTTCCTGCATCACCCATCTCTCCACCTAAACCAGGAATTCCTCGTGGACCAGGTTCACCCTATCATAGAGATGTTTAATAAGATTTTTTTTAGAGAAACAGTACCTTCAATCCTAATCTTCCATCCAACCCTCGTTTTCCAGGTCTGCCTACCGGTCCAACAATGCCTTTTTCACCCGGAGGTCCCTTGGGTTCTCGTTTACTGATATATTAATTTTTCAACTTACTTGAATTCCAGGAACTCCTTGTTCTCCTGTTGGACAGGGATCTGCGCATATCTTCTTCAAGTCGGGAAGAGGTTGACATGGCAAACGCGCTGGTAAGCCTGTTGCTCCGACAGCTCCTTTTGATCCACGCAACCCATCTCTACCTGATAAACCAGGAGGCCCTCTCGGAAAGCGACATCTGTTTATATAGAAGTTAGCTAAGTATGTAATGTTTCCACTTACGTGCAAGAATCTTCATTGTTCTCCCAACTTCTCTTATCTCTCGTTGCATTGCGTGCTAACAGTTTTGTAAGAGAGCTCAAATGTGCATAGTTTTCCTGAAATAGTTACTACAGTTGAACCGGTGGGATGCACACCCGGGAGAGAGGGGTTAGGCTTCCCAATGAATACTGTCTGAAACATACTCACCTCACAATAATAAGTGTCACGCTCGATTTGATTTTCAATCGAGTTAGCGAATTGACTTAGAATAGGTACAACTGAGGACATAAAAGATATTGAAATAACAGTAGCTGATAAGGAAATTAGAATGATGACCTTGTAGGCAGATTCACGTGAATCCTCCATACAAGCCTTCATTTTATGATCTACTATTCCGGAAGTAAAGTGATTGATTATGAAAAATCGTCACTTCTACAAGTTCAATAGAATAACTATAACGTGGAAAGTATGAGTGTTGAGAAATAATATTGTCAGAAGACTCTTTCTACTCTCAGGTAGTTAAAGATATAATGATAGAAAGATTTCGAATGTCTGTTGACCGCGTTTTTCTTATCTCCAACTCTCTTCCATGACCTCAATTAGCTTGACAAAGATTCGAAAAAGTGAAAGAACCAAATAGGGTTTATTGAAAAAGTTAGACGTTTTCAACTAGGCTTCTCTTCATATATCTAAGTAGGTAGTACTACTGCAAGAAGTATACGCGTTAGTATTCCACAATATTTCCTTGTCACTGTTCACGTTCATGCGTTTAAACACCTCGGGAGTAACTTTCCTCTTAACTTTTTCCGAAGATGCAACAACATGATTAATACCGACATGTCACAAACAGCTGATGTGTTTTCAATAAAAATTGGAACGATCCGGAGAAGAAACTTTGTTCCAAAAAAGGAATGAAAGTGTTGGAATAACACATTTTTAGTCGTCTTTCGTGTAGATGTAGTTGTTCAGTGAACTTGGCTTCTCTTTGCAAACTACAGGATTCTTCACAACTTGCCATTTCAACGGAACATGTCTTTTGTGATGCTGAAGATGAGACAGAAGTTGAACGATTTAATCTTTGGAAAAAAAAGCTTTGTTGCTTCGTCTATATCCAAAAGAATAGAAAGAGAATGAGCCTGGTTCAATAATAAAAAGAATATAAGGCATCCATAAGTATAGTGCATTTGGAATACAAAACATGTTTACTCAAGAAAATAATTCATGTGAAAGTGTTTGTAGATCTGTTCAAACATGCCTTCAACAGTTGTTACCTTCTTACGCTGTCGAAAAGTATCTCCTTTAAAGGATATTTTTTTCAATATCCGGTCTTCTACTAAGATTAATAACAGATGACCATAGTGAAATGAATGGCAAAACTCATTAAAACCATCATATCACTCTCACTATCTGAGAAAACAGGGTTCCAGCTTTGAAACAAGTTCTTTATTCCTTCTTCATTCTCCTCCTCTCTATTTTCAGCTGACGTGCGAAATCCGAAATCCTTTCCAATTCATATCAAACTTGTGCTTTTGCCCTTTATCAGTTTTTTTTAATTTCCAGCATTACTTTTCAGCAGAATGCTTGTAATATTTCTGCTCTGTCTATTGAGTTTAACACAAGCAGAAGCGAATGAAGATGCTAAAACAGAATTCAAGGTAATGCTCAAACTTCTTATTTTTTTACATTCGTTTTACAGTCTTTCTTCAAAGTTCAAGATGGTCAGCTAGATTCTGTTAGCTCGCTGCTCCTCAGAATGAAGAAATTGGCACATCGACGAGTTTATGGTAACAGGGTTTTCGGCAATGATGTATGACTTTTAATATAACTCAAATCACTGAACAAGCCATACCTAGGCTGTGGAGGATTCTAAGAAAGAAGTGACTATCAGTGAGTCTCAACCTGCTGTTGTTAAAGAGGTTAGTCCGTATCTTTTTGAAGGTAAGTAGGAAAAGCTTGAGAATATTCTAAATTCAATTCATCGATCAGGTGACATCTTTTTGTCAAAAAAACAAGCAGTTGGAATTCTACAAACCATCTCTCATATCGAGCGACGTAAACGAAAAGATGGAAGAGGTTCTCAGCTCTGCGATGACTGTCACAAGAAATCTTCATTTCTAGATAGACGCTCCTTTGTAGCTGAGGAAGAGGAGAAATGGCTCGAACTCCCTATCAAATATAAGTTTCATGAGAGTTTAGGTTTGTGATCTGCAAAGAACAAGCAATAATAATTATTTTGCAGATTTCCATTCTGTGAGACAAATCATTTCTGCTATACGTTATTGGGAGAACGTTACTTGCCTCTCTTTTTTGAACGCCCCAGACGCTTATGAAGATGAAGATCATTTAGAATTTTTCCGAGGACAAGGGTGATACCGAGTACTTTTCCTTAACTTTTTTTTTTAAAGATGTTATTCTATGATTGGTAGGAACGGAGGTAGACAAGGAGTATCCATTGGCGAAAATTGCGTTAAGGTTATCCTAGGAATTGTTTAATATATTTTGTCCGCTTAGCATAGGTCCTGTGGTGTAGTGGTTATCACGTCTGCTTTACACGCAGAAGGCCGCCGGTTCGATCCCGGCCAGGACCTCCCTTTTTGCTCTAGAATTGAATTCAGCAACGATTTATTTTTTTTTAGCTCGGAGTAATAGAACATGAAATCGGACATGCACTCGGGTTATGGCATCAACAGAGCAGGCCAGATGCTCAAACTTACGTTAAAGTCAGTAATAAACTCTATTGAAGTGTCAATATTTGGTTTAGGTTCAAGAAGATTTCATTTTACCATCATTCATATCTGATTTCCAAACCCGAGAAAATGATATAAACACATTAGGCGTACCTTACGATTTAGGATCAGTAATGCATTATGGTAGTACTGCGTTCAGCTCTGATCAAAACAGCAAAACATTAATCACAAGGTTTTTGGTGATTTACTTCTCAATATCTACCATATCCTGAATCTAGAGATCCCCTGTATCAGTCGACTATTGGCCAAAGAGAGACCTTATCGTTCCTAGATATCGAAACTATCAATACGGCATATTGCAAAGGTGGGTCGTTTGCCATCTGTACTCTTTTTCAACTAAATTTAGAACAATGTTCTTCACGAAGCGCTGGGCAGTGCAAAAACGGTGGATATCCTCATCCAGGAAAATGTTCCGATTGCTTATGTCCGAATGGATTGAGTGGAAAGAGTTGTGAGGAGCCTGAAGCTTCTCAAAGTGGGGATTTCAGAACAGTATACTACATACTCAATCTGATTTAGATGCCGAATGTGGGCAAGCTCTAACTTTATCTGATGAATGGCAAGAGTTCAACTCTCCCGACTTCCCTGATCCAGGGTATGAACCAAATCAGAAATGTTCTTGGCTACTTAGCGTAAGTTACTGAAACTGCAATTTTTTTCCAACATGAGTCTGCCAGGCTGGAAATGGGAAAAGAATAGAACTAGAGTTTATTGAGGATTTCTCCTTCTTATGCACTACTACTTGTGTTGACTATGTGGAACTGAAGATATCAAAAGATTTGAGAAACACTGGATTTAGGTATAACAAAGTGCTGTTTATTGCACCACCCTCCCAATTCAGATTTTGCTGTTACGATATGCCTACAGAGAGTTTAATTTCGGAATCGAACAAAGCAATAGTTATTTTCAAGTCTTCATTGTCAAGCGACATTGGTTTCAAACTCAGAGTTCGCCATAGTAGGTTGACTCTAAAACATCTTATAAGTTATCTGATTTTAGCTGATTTACCTTCACGAACAACACCTGCTCCAGTAATTAGAACGACGACACGTAATTGCATTCGAATTTAACTAATGTTTCGAATATTGAACTCATTGCAGCTGTGCCAACAACTATAGCAGGAACTGATATATGGTCCGAATGGGGAGAATGGTCCCAATGTAGTAGAAGTTGTGGAGGTTGCGGAATTAAATCGCGAGCTAGAACATGCAGAACGAAAGACTGCGAGTAGGTGGAACCTAGTATTGCACTAAAGATAGTTTCATTTAGTGGTCGGAGGCAAGAGTTTAGCACTTGTAATATGGAAGCTTGTCCTGTCGATAAGCATTGTGCCAAACTTCTTTCAACTAACAGATTATGCAATGGGGTTGTCTGTACAAAGTTTACCTTTTTTCCTTTTTTTTGAATTTTAATAATATTTCAGAGTAACATCAGCGTTATCAGGGTGTAACGAACCACAATGTTGTCCACCCTTTTACAACAACAAAGGAGTTTGCATGAGTGATAGTCCAATTAGTAATGATTTTATAGTATAACACGTACAAGAATTAGCAGTCGGTGTTGAATACGGGTTTCAACCATAACATTATTTGATTTAAATGTTTATCTACTTGTGGAAATGAAAAGTATACTTGCCATGTCTGAATCAATTTTAGTTAATCACATATGATAATCATTGAATGAATTGTATATGAAACGATTGATATCATTTGCAACATATTTTCTTTCATTAACTCTTGGATTAAAAAAAAAAGGTTCTTGAGGTTTCTAGAATACTCATTATATGTTTCCAGGTTGAGAGTTGGGAAGACTCAAATTCTTTGTCTGAAATGAATAACGCCACACGCTATTTTGCGTACTGCTTTTGAAAAATGGTCACTCATGTAGCTAGCTTTGATTTCAAACTTGAATGCTTCTTAAGCTTTCGTCCTTTTTTTCAGGTTATGCATGTTCCCTACACAACGTCTGTTCCTAATAATGCTTTAAATACTTGGGCGAATCAACAAAATAGCTATTCGCAAGATACTAATGAACAGTCTTCCTTCACCAGAGAAGAAAAATGTGATAAAAATGGTAGAAGATGCAGAAAAAGACGAGTATGTTTTTTTTGAAAAGTACCCAGTATGGCTTTGCTGATTACCTTATAGGTCTCGGATAGAGAGAAACAGAAGAAACCAACGGCTAGAACACTAGGAGAATTAGTTGAAGAAGCTAAAGAGAAAGAGAAAAAAAAGTCCAGAAGTGGGAGTTTTGAAAAGGAGAGGATGAAAGATGAAACAGAGGACGAATACACATGTAGTGATGAAAACGATGGACCTGAGAACATGAAGGAAGATGATTTAAAATGCGATGAAATCAATCAAGCGAGCATGGCAGGAAATAGTCATCAACGGGAAGGGAAACCACAGTTTTTTGATGGTAATTATCATCAGTCTCCTATATGCTTATCTATATTTGGAGATGTACCTTTGCTGGGAGCGAACGAATTGAAAGATGAAATTGTTCTGGACGAGTATGAGTTTGATCCTAACACTATGAAAGTGAAAGAATCTAGTCAATGTATGTATGCTGCTGGAAGGAGATATAATTCGGTAACATCTTGTGTGAAGTTGTAGATGAATAGTTTGTTTCAGTGTGATGGTGAAGCCGTTCTGAACTTGTCCACTGAAATGAGACTCAATGAGTTCAACAACGATGTTTTAGAAGTTCTCCAACGAGCCAAAGATAGACAAGTTTTAGTTCCGAGATCTCCCACACCTCCTCTACATCATAAATGCAAATGTATTACGTTTTCAAAGTAGTTTCTAAATATAATGTTTTTTCTCCTCTTTTAGGTGGTCACGATGACAGCTCTTCTAGCTCTTCTTCGGAAGATGAAAAGGATGACAATGAGAAACAATCAGATCGGCAAAAAAACATAGAAATTTTGAGAAAAGAAGTGAGCTTACACTAGTACACATTGATCGTATATTCCTTTCAAGGTACATAGGAAGCAAACTCATCCCTCAGCGTTGAGTCCTGATATTATTTTTAACGAGAAAGGAATGGTAAAGACTACTCGATTTCATGAAGTTCATTGTTACCCGTTTTCAGTCAAACGATGGTCCGGTTTGTAGGTGCTCTATCAGATCACGGAAAGAAGGGTTACGACACAGCAAGTATGTTGGTGAAAAGTTCATTCCATTATGCAATCCAAAATCAAGGTAAAATTTGTGTGAAACCTTGTATCATCCTGATATGTCAGCAACTCGAAAAAACTTTATCACTATGTGCTTAAAGTAGGGGTTACTATAAACTCATACGGACTACCCAGGACGCAGATTATGTATAATAACGCGGTTTATAAGTTCGAAGGATATTCGGTGAGCGGACAGAAGAAAATATCTAACATCATCGGATATTTAGGTGTTTTTTCATCGACCTTTGCCTGAAGTATTTCCTGCAATGCCTACATCGCGTTGGACAACTGATTTCGATTTCGAGTTTGTGAAAGAGAGTATTGCAAATGTATGTTGTTATTGAAAGCTATGAAGTTCATTGTTACTTACAGTGCTATACAGTTGGAGAACTCGAAGCTTTTTATTCATATCTGTACGATGAAACTCTTGATTTCTATGATGTGAGTAGATACCCTGATGAAGACCCAGATCATAAGGGTTGTCCTTATTTCCATATTATGCCTAGATTTGTTTATGAAAAAGGTAAATTTGGATACTGTATACTCATTTCTATTGTGATTTTGTCTCAGACGGACGTGCAGAACTTCTTGCGATGTGCAAAGTTATAGATTACTTAGTTAGGTCTTTCAAGCCATTAGTATCACGCTCTGACGAGGAGTACCTACTGCAGGTAAATCGTTCATTTGATTTTTTTTTGCATTCTCTCTAGTGCACCGAAGAACAGTTCCGCAAATACATTGGACGAGAGAAAAATCAAATTATTTTGTGCCCTCTAAAGGTACATCATATGCGTTTAGGATTTAAGTTGGAGAACTAAATGTTTAGAAACCATCAGCTATTCGAGTTGACTCGTTTGTCCGAGTACTGGATACCAAAGAGATTAAGATCATGCAGAACACTCTCAAGTATATTAAATTAATCGCAAAATGATTATTATCCTTTTTCAGACCAGTAGCTTATATTGCAGTGCATAATCCCGAACTTCATAGGTTATCTAAGCGCCTCAGCAAAATGAGACACTTACATGCTGTGAAAAAAAACACTTCCGAGCAAGTGAGAATGGAAATAGAAAATTTACAAGTAAAAATAGATTCTTTAAAAAATAAAAGGTACGTGACCCTAGAAGACAAACGAAAGAAAATAGAGAATGTTCAGTAATAATGTTAGATGCGTGTCAGTTCTGCTACCGTCACACTTGTTTTATAAATGCGGTATGTATCCCGATGTTGTTCCTCATTCACTGGTACTTTTGTTGGCCTGCCAACATGCTCGTTTGCACTGGTCATTTGATGTATGTTAATTTCTTATCTCTCCATATATATTCTCCACACATTTCATACAGGTCTTAGAAGAAAAAATTAACCACAAGTTTAAAAATCGATTACTGTTAGAACTATCTCTTACCCACCCATCCTTCAAGGCAAGAACTATTAGTTTTTTTATAAACATCATTCAATTTCCAGCATAATTACGGAGTCACGATTGATCATGCCAAAAATACGTTGCTCAATTGTGGGTATCGTAGAAAATATTCTACCCTAGATGAAAAAAAAGAAAAAAAACGAGGTTCGTATGTTGTCGATTCCACTATAAATCATCGTTTCAGGTATATTCCGTTTGCTCGAAATAATGTCTTTGTCTGGGCAAAGTAAATCTGCAATATCCCCTATCACTCATAACGAAAGGCTTGAGTATTTGGGCGATGCTGTAGTAGAAATGGTCGTATCTATTCGGCTTTATCTATTATTACCCCTACACAACGAAGGTGTGCTTGCTACATATCGTAGTGCTTTGGTTCAAAATCGTAATCTTGCAACACTAGCCCAGGTACTCATCACATACATCTCTGATAGAAGCTTTATAATTCAGAACATAGGTTTACAACATTGGCTATTATTTGCTCACGGTCCTGATCTCTGCCATGAATCTGATTTCAGACATGCTCTTGCAAACTCTTTCGAGGCCATAATGGCTGCGGTTTATTTAGATGCTGGTATTGACAAATGTGATAGGTAAAGGAAAACAAATTGAATAGTATGGGAGAGAAATTGTAGATTGTTTTCAAAAGCAATGTTTGGCAACAATGAGATTGAGTTGGACCGTTGGCTGAATGTATCTGATGAAGAACTGCGGGTACAGTTAGGTTCTTAAAATTCGTAACTACAAATCTTAATTTAGTGCGATGAGTACAAAGATGGTGACCGAGAACTCATACCTAAGTTTGAGGTCCTTCAGTCTTTGACCAGTTTTGAAAATTCGATTGGTTTCCGGTTCAAACACATAAGACTACTTGCTAAAGCGTTTACTAGAAGAAACATTCCTTATAATTGCATATCCAAGTACTCATACAGTTTATTTTTTTCTACTCTCTCTGATTTCCAGAGGTAATAACCAAAGACTGGAGTGGTTAGGTGATACTGTGCTTCAATTGGTTGTAACTGACTACCTATACAAGCATTTTCCTCACCACCATGAAGGCCACCTCTCACTTCTACGAACTTGCATAGTAAGTAACAAAACTCAGGTATCTAACTGATGTTTCTTCCAGTCTCCGAAAATATTTTTTTTAGTCTGTTATATGTGATGATTTGAATATGGGTGAATACTTAGTGAAACCAATAGCGAATAGAGATAAAGTTAATCTTCGAGTGAAAGATAAAGCTGATCTTGTTGAAGGTTTTTGTGAAGGTCGTGTTGCTTAAAACATAGTCAACATTTCAGCATTCATAGGCGCTTTGTATCTCGATGGTGGCTTGGGCGCTTGTAAAGCTTTCATTAAAGTTTGCTTTTTACCTCGTTTGAAAGTAAGCTTGCTCCTGAGTTTCGTGTTCATGTCTTTCTTCCAGTTGTTTATCGAAGCAAATAAGTGGAATGATCCTAAGTCACAACTGCAGCAACTCTGTCTGACGATGAGAAATCCTGAATCGAAAGAGCCTGCTATGCCCACATATAGGTTTGTGAAATATGTTAACAGTTTTCATATCTTCACTCCAGGGTGATCTCGGCGGAAGGTCCTTCTAACACTCGAAGGTATAAAGTAGCAGTTTACTTTCGGTAAGAAAAAAATAATGTTAGGCATATTGAAGTTTGTGTATCAGGGAGAGAAGATTGGCTGTTGGAGAAGCTGGTAACATGCATTCAGCGGAAATGGATGCAGCAAAAAGAGCTATCATTGAATGCAAAGAGTTGGCCAACAATAAGTTTAGCTCTCACCAAAGATTCGCTCAGCTCTCTAGGACAAATAATACTTACTGAGTACACACTGCTCCGGAAAGTGAACGAAATACCATCGAGTTCCAAAAAAATAAATACCTTTGAAAAATCTATTTTGCCTTTGACTACTTCATTATTTTCTGTTGAAGGACAGGAGTAAGGCAATCCTCAGGACGTCACAGAAATACAACGATTCTCCACTTCAATGCCCTAGTGGAACCCACGAACAGTAGACCTCACATAGTTTTGATTGAAGCTCTACTATATAGTTGAAATCTCCTGTTTCCAGTTACAACGTGTCATCTGAAAGCCAGCATATAACCGTTACGCCTCTCGAAACTTGCTGAGAGCGGAACGTTTTGGTGTTGTCTTCCTTATCGACATTGTTTATGATTTTTCATATTCATGTAAGTCGATATACGAACCAGTGGATCAATCGCGCAACTGATATGATTATTCGTTAACTTTGTTCATTGCAATGTTTAAGATCGATCATTCAGAAAGGAATTGAAAAAACAGCAAAATGAGGCTAAGTAGTCGGTAAGAGCTTCCTGAACTTGCTGTATGATGAAATGGTCTTAAACACACTTTTATTTCATAAACGTATAAGTAGCAATATGAAAAAATGCTATTCTGTGCATATAGCCCGTATACATGTCGTTGAATCGCATGAGCCCGCGTGGCCTAATGGATAAGGCGTCTGACTTCTAATCAGAAGATTGTCGGTTCGATCCCGGCCGTGGGCTTCACGTTTTGTTTTTTTTGAGAAACCTCTAGGAAGTTTTTTTTTTCATACAAGGTCAAGAAAAACATTTTTCCTTTGAATAACTACAGAATAACTACAGAAGAACTACTCACCTCTTCATCTGTTTTGCAGTGTAGTGTACTAAATATAGGAATTTGGGGAGGAACACTCAAGAAACATTACTTTAAGACAACATTTGAGGAACACACTTCCACATAATGTTTCGATGGGTAGTGGTCACAGAGAAACTCTTAAGTTTTCTGTAGTATCTTTAAGAAACTGTAAACATGATTCAATTAAGTTAAAATATAAAAGTAAACATGCCATTAGGAAGTTTTTTTCTGGCTGCACCTGTCCACCACTTGGAGAGATCATAGAAATGGTCAGAGAAAAACTCGAACAGAGCCAGAAGTTTTCATAAAAAAGTTAATCAAACTGTTAGAGGAAATTAAACAAATAGTTAATGATTCGTCCAAATTTTGCTTTAAATCTTCTATAAACTAGTTATGAAACAATATTTAAGAACAAGTTTAAGTTTTCGTAATCAAAAACTGATTAGAGCCTGAAGATGAACGGAAGAAGGGAAAAGGTATAAAAATAAGTTTTCAATGTTATTTCGGTTCATTTGTGTAGTTTAGTTGTTGTATTTAGTATAGTGGAACTGATCAATTTAATAAAGATAAAGTATGACACAATAGCGATGTGACCGTGAATTCAAGAGATTGACAACATTCCTATCTACTTGAGAAACATAGATCTGTTGGTGGAAAGCTGTTAATCTGTTCCAAAATGTTTTTTTTCTGTATTTCTTGGTTGTTTTTACTTGTGAATATGAAACCCGGTCTATCGACCTTGTATATCCTTTGCTGGGTAGAATAATGATGCCCTCAGACACACTTGTTGACTTTCCTTTTCCGAAAAAAGAAAAAGAAATGATGAAGAATAAGTGTCGGCTTCTTGTCTTGTCTTTTTTTGACTTTGGTTGTCTGTTTTCATCTCCTATTTCTCTCACTATAATCTAAGTCATTTGCTTTTTTTTCCATATATATCTTGGCTTTTCATACAAACAGGTCCACTTGCTTCGACCCTCTCAGATATTCTCTCGTGTTTCTCTTCACAGTCTTGATGTCTCATCAATTATTTTGATGTTTTCAAAAAGTATTTTGCAATTTTAATCTTTCCTCAATTTCCTCACCTTTCACACTTTTCTCAGGAAAAAAGTACAAACACAATGTATCGAGTCTTTTATTTATTTGTTTGGACGAAAATAACTCGAAACTTGTACTTGTCGAGTTGATTGAGTTGAAATGATGAAGTTCACAGCCCTCCTTTCAAGATTTTCTATAAAAGGTTAAAATGATGGAGGAGAAATTCAATCAACAAATCATATCATTTTAACATTCCTTTTCAAACTTTTCGTAAAAACATAGAAAAATACAGTCAGCTAGATTTCTATGAATGGAAAAGCGTGTTAAAAGTTGGGCGGAGCTAGTCAACTTGAGCCAGCAGAGAGACCCAACCCCTTTCAAGTCCATTCTCCCCTTCTTTATGAATGTGTGAGAGTGTCTCATTTCATTTAGCTGTATTTTGATGACTTGAACTTCTCTTTAAGTAATCTTTTTCAGAAAATCAAATGATAATGAAATCGAAACTATTCATTGGCTTAGTATTGATATCATGTGTCTCATACTATGTGGAGTGCAGGGCTGTGAGACAAGCTGCAACTTGCTCATTCCAGGTTCGGAAAAATCCATCTCAAACTTTCCCTCATAATATCCGGGACCGGATCATATGGCAACGACCTTCACTTAGTGATGGAAGCCTCATTGGTCTTATTATTTTAATGGAGGCTTGACAATCTTGCCTCAACTAAACTTGACCTTGGTTCTCCTTACCTTGAAGCTTATTAGAAATAGATCCACCTACTTACATAACAAAGTTGCTGCAAATCTAAAATCAAACATGATTGGTGTGAACGATGGAAAATCACATTCTCTCTGTCTCTCTGTTATATTTTTGAACAAAATGCTCGATTTATCTCTTGACAACTCCAAATTCAACAGACGGATATATCGTGCCTTAATTGGCTATGATACAAGGATTGGGGAAATTTAGATGCAAAACAGGTTATAAATATCTCTCATTCTCTTTAGTTTATAATAGTTTTTTGTATATTAAAATACCTAAGTACGTATAAGTCTCTAATTCTCTTTTATGTATGTTTGGAGCTTTCTATTAACTATATATATATAGTTTATTACAAGAGATGATAAAGCAGGAATAATTGATGAAGAAATGATAGATGAATGCCCTGGTTATAAATGACAAAAACCGTTTTCACATCTAACATCTTGTCATTTACTTGTCAATTGAAAGTTGTTCGCTTATTTTAGACTGATGACTATTCATTGTCATGGGAGTACGATGAGCTGAGCTCTGATGTAGTTTTCAAACTATCAGCTTCTTCCCGCAATCCAAGTTTCTGGTCAGGAGTCTATTTTGGCGATGAAGAAAAGCCGGTAAATTTACAAAAAAAAAACTTGAAAAAAAAATTGTGATTCAGTCTGATGTAATTGGTGTGTTTGTTCGTTCTGGTCAAATTGGCTTAGTTGATGGCCATGTTAATTCTGAGAATGACATCGAATCAGATGAAACTACAAATGTCCAATCACTCACATTCGATCTACAAGTAAACAGTCTTCCATTGTTGATCTGTAGTATTTTGCTCTATAGGACCATACTTTGACTGCCGAATTCGCTAGACCTTTGACTTCCATTGATGAGACCGATGCCGATCTGTCTAACTGCGTCGTAAGTTTGCCGAAATATTCAAAACGTTGACGAACACAAAAAAAAGAAAAACCACTTCCTGTTCCCACATAGAATTCTCATCCGGAATACCTTTTCCTATTTTTTTGGCGAGCTTGAATAAGCTTTATCCAATTTAAACGATGTGAACCATCATCATCTTTCGTCGTTTTTTTTGAACTCTCCTTGAAGGTTAGGCTGGTTGTTGCAGACCACCTGCCATTCACGTCAATTAATTAGGAAAACTCGCAAAACTTGACATGATAAGAAAAAAAAATTTCATTGTGGAAAATTTCAGACATTCTATTTCCCAATAAATGCTCCAGCTATTGATATTGGTGGACCAGTTGAAGTTCCAAAGAATTTGATTAAGAAGAGAGTCTGTGATCTGGCTGTCAGTTGTAGCTCTTCCCATTCACGTGAGTATTGATTGATCAACTGATCAAAACAGAAATGACCATTTCACTCGAAGAAGTTTAAGTGGAGTGTTTAGAAAAACATTTTTTTCATAAAGAAACACAAAAAAAGAAGAGTTTGCGTGAAGTGTAGAAGAGAAGATAATCAGAGAGGTCGAGTGGCTAAGCTTTTCGTGCCTTTTTGTCTATCTCATCTTCAGCTTGAGAGCAATTTCAAAGAAAATAAACAGTTAAAAACTTCAAAATGATTTAATTCGGGTTTTCATCTGTTTAGTCATCAGTTTCAATTCTCACTTCAAAAAACTCTTGAGTTACTTGTCGGAACAAGATGTTCCTTCGTTCACATTTTCCTGTTTCAGTCGTTGTCAAACGAGCTGATAACTCATCGACTACTTGCAAATATGAGAGCAACGATAAGCAGAGATCTGTGAGCTGGCAAAAAATGGGAGAGAACGTCCTCTTCAGCATCGAACAACCAGCCAAGAAAGGAAAATGGTGGACAGCCATCGGAGTAGGAGAGTCCATGCAGGTACGCTTTGGCACGTATCCTTCAAACGTTTTGCCATTCTTTTTAATCTGGTCGGTATACATACCGGGAAATTCAATTAAAAGGAGAATTACCGAGGTCAAACTCAAAGAAATTTTGATTTTGAGGACAAACCGAATTATCGGCTCAATCCTATACTAGTTCGCAAGGATCAACGTCCTTCAACAAATTCATTCAAACTCCTTATGTTTTTTTGTGTTTGGTTTTTCCCACACAAACATTTGCCTAAATCATTGCGAAAGCCGCCCAGTGGTGGAATCATTAAATCTATTTAAATTCCTCTTTATTTTGAAATTTGAGATAATCACTTAATAGTTTCGGTCGTGCCGACGAGATACAAAATCCTCAGCTATTCTTTTGTTTCAATGTTACCATGAAACTTGTTTCCGAAAATATTATTTTAAACATAAATATGGAACAAGCAGAAAAGTTTTTGAAGTTTCGAACATTTTTATCCTCACGTCGAAAGTTTGACCCGTCGACATAACGACCTCGTGTCATTGGCAGTTTGTTAATCTCAGTCACACTTTCTAGGATTTGGATCTGATAATTACATTCGCCGAAAATGGAAAAGTTCAACATACCGGTGGGTACAAGAGTATAGGATACTCAAGCCCTGAAGTCGATGAAACTCTTACTTCTGCACATAAACTTGACGTGAGACGCTCATTACAATAGACAAGCCAATATTCCAATTCAGTCGTTCAATGTTGCTGATGACAAATCCTTCTTCAACATCGTCGTTCCATCGACTTTCTTGTCATCTCGTATGGTTAGTTAGATCACTCAAACTCTTTTTGATACAAAGTGTTTAATCTGATATAATTGCTTGTTACAGGAAAATGATTGTGTGACTGTTCAAATGGGAATTCTTGCTGGTACATACGCGAAGAAAAGAAATGACTTCATAATTCAGAAACACAGGGTACGTAATATTGATAATTGATAATTGATCATACACTGTAGCATTTTAATTTTATTCTTTTCCATCTTATTATTTTATTAACTACAACTAGTTCAGGATTCACCAATTGCTGTTACTATATGCAACATTGATCAATGCAGCCTGGTAGAGAATACTTCGGAGCCGTTACCATCATCGTCCACACCCACATCAACAGCAGCTTCTTCAATTGTTCCAAATAATGAAATTGAAGATGTTATAATTGAGAAGAATGATCATCAAGTTCAAAATCAAGAAACTGGTTGGTGTCTAACTCTTATCTTCACAAGTTATTTGTGTTCCATTTGTTTCATGTAAATACTTAAGGAGTTGCAAACTCATCTTGTACTACAGTTCTTGTTTCTATTATTAATTTTCTCTTTAGTACAAGAGCCGGAACAAGAACTTTTGAGCGCTGAGAATCCAAAACGTGACGATGATAAATCTCTCGAAGGAAGCGGTCAACAAGCTGGAATATTCGAAACTGTTTCTCACGAACTTCAAGAAATCCAAGGTAATCTGATATGATCTTCAGTTTTACCAAACTTGTTTAGGATCTGGAGAAGATACAGACAAGTCTAAAAGTAGTTCTGATGAAGTAAGTATTTTATGCATTCTACTCGCTATTCAAACTCTTCTCATCTAATCTTTAGGTGCTTCCTAATTTCCTCGAAACTAACATGACCAATACTTCTCAAGCTAATGATTTAATCGAGCAAAGCTTCTCTACAACTGCTGAGAAAGTGCAATCCAACACCTCAGGCCTTGGGCCAGAGAACAGTTCTATCCTCAGCAGTCAACAACCTAACTTGCAAGACATTCTTCTGACCTCCACGCCAGCTGATAGCATGAATGTTGTTGTTATTGTTTCTTCCACTTCCCAAATACCGGAAGAGTTAATCGAAAATGTAACAGCTCTGAATCAGGGAGATGCAGAGAAGGAGGATGCTTCCAATACTACTACTCTTCTACCATCATCAAGCTCTGCAATTGCCCAAGATAATGAACCAATGATGAACCAAGCTTCTTCTTCTATCTTTGATCTTTCTGTAGCAAACTTGACAGATGACGGTAGTTCAACAGATTCAAGCCAAGACAACAGTACGTCTTCTGTCACCTCGGTAAGATAATCAATATTGAAAACACTAACCTCCAACAGATATTTGAGAACGGAGTCGTTCCATCTACTAATGCTTCTCCAACATTTACATCCGTGAGCTCTGGCTCTGATTTAACTACTGCTATAGTAATGCTTAACTCTCCTACCGTTCAGAAGGTCTTGTCATTTCTGATTGTGGTGAACACTAATCTCAAAGTCCCGTTTTAGAACATCGAAGGAAGCGGAAGCGGTGAAGAGCCTTTAGTCGAATCCACTAAGAAAGAAGGTAACAAACGATACTCCGTTCTGAGTAAATTATGTCAACTTCCAGTTCTTTCTTCGACTACTCCTACGACTGCAATGAATGAGTCTACAGAGGCTGCGCCACAAACAGTCTCTGTTAGTAATGAAGTCGTCATGCTTAACACAATCCTCCCAACACAAAGTGAGTCGAATGAGGAATTCAATGATATCAGTGTAAACTATTCTAGCATGTTCTCAAGAAGATTTAAAGGTTTGTCAATCTTACTTCGACGACTACTTAATCAAAGTTGCTGACTGGTCTCGCCGTCATGATTTCTCTGCTTCCTCACAACAATGGAAGGTGAGTCGAGAGTTATATTCTCATGACTAAAACTTAATCGGTTTCTACAGGCCTGCAAGCTACTCTCTGAAGTGAAAAACGTTCCAACTTTATGTTGTAACAGATATCAACAAGAGTGTGCCAATGTAACTCCACCTCCTCAATAGCCGTTTTTGATGTGATATCGTGTTTTACTCGAGATAGCCTATCATCTTCTCAAATTTATTCTTGATCTTTCGATCGTTTTCCATTATCTGATCTTTCTCTGTATTTTACTTTATGTGTATATTTTTGAATTCTTTTTCATCTATTTTAAAAAAGAAAATGGTGACAATAGACTTATTTATTTCAATTGTACTAACAATTACGCTATAGATTACATTATATCTTTTTAAATATATCTTTGAACTTTTCATTCAGTCTTTCATATCTGCTGTTCATTCAGCTAACTATTTTTCTCCCGAACCCTCGAGCTGGACATGGACAATAAGCAGCATCAGTACCATGTGAGCCGTTGCTTCCTGGCTGTAAAAAATCAAAAAATCGGATCGAATTCAAATCTACTAACTGGTCCTGGGAGACCATCTGTTCCTTCCTGGCCAGGCTTTCCTTTGGCGCCTGGTAATCCTTGCGCGCCAGGCTCACCAATACCAGACGTGAGAGAGTTCTCACCTGGTAAACCAGGTGCTCCCACAGGACCAGGACCTAGAAACAGTGCTGTGAAGCAATATTTTGTTCAGAATACTACTTCCGGTAGCTCCTCTCAGAGATAAAGATCTGGTTCCTGGCTTCCCGGGTGTTCCATTTGCTCCAGGGTTCCCTGGTTGTCCAGGAGGTCCTGGTGGTCCTTGTACACCTGGAGGTCCTGGGGATCCTCTCGAGCTTATACCTAAAAATAATTTTCAACCATGGTTTTCCAGCTAGTTAGCTGATACCAGAAGATCCCTGTTTGCCATCCGGTCCAGCCGGTCCGGGGTTTCCAGTAGGACCTGGTGGTCCTGGAGGTCCGACGGGGCATCGGATGCAGTTGGAATCGATTCCGACATTATCGGTTTTTATTATAACAACGGATGCTGGGTTTCCTGCTTCTCCCGGAAACCCGGGTTCACCATCTAACCCAGCTTGTCCGGGTGGACCAGGCGGGCCTGGCGGGCAATTATTTGCTGAACAGTACGTTTTTCGGATTATTGAGAGAAGTGATCGAACTTGAGCAGCCGCAACTGGACTTAGCTTCCTTGAACGCCGTTTGTGTAAACTGGTTGAACGCTATTACGTACTGCCTTCGAGTTCTTTTGGTTATATCTCCATAGTTGTCTACAGCTTTTATAATTTGTGAAGCTTCTACCGCTAATGTCTAACCAAATAGGTCAGTATAGAAATTATATGTGCAAACCTTGAACTCTTCAAGCTCTTTAACAACTTGATCTCGGAACTGATGTATGTCTGTTAGAATCCAAAAGATGCAACATAGTAACGCTGATGTGACTAAAAAAGTTATGCCAGACGCTATCTTGACGCAAAATGATGCACTGAAAAGAGATAGCAAATTGATCAACCTAATGACATACCTTGACTTCATATGCATCTTCTTTAGAAATACCTTTTTTATTCGTTATATATATTCTTTTCTTGACAATAAGTTATTATTTTCTTTGTTAGCATGGTTTCAGCTTTGAACTTAGCAATAACAACTGTACGGTCTCGTAATTCGAACAATCAGTTTTTTGCTATCGCATTGGGTCTACGACAACAGGAATTTTAATCCCATTCATTTCCTCTCGAATAATCTGTATATTTCGACGGCTTGTCTTCCTTCATGTTCCGTTTGTTATAATTCATGTCTTACCTATGGTTGAATTAGTATATACAGTTCCTTATTTTTTTCTGATGTGTTACTGGGTGTATTTAATTCGTGGTTCGTTCTGTTCATAGATAATCATTACTTAGCAATGATATAGATTTGAAAAAAAATCTTTTAAAAAATGAAATATGTGCTCATCTGCTTGGTAGTAAACTCGACCACTGTTGGTAATATTCCAAAAAATTTAAGCGTACAATGTACGCTGCAGGTGTCTATATGTACGTGCAAAATTTGAGCCTTCAGGGGCTGCATCCCAGGCGGGAGGCAAAGTTACGAAACTCAGCTTCGCTTTTTTTGAATTTTTCAGTTTTCCCTCTCTCTGTTTTCCCTGTCAGGACCAATTAAATTTTATTCCTTTTAAATTTCCGTTAATTTTTGTCGCTGTATTAATGTAAATTTGATTATCACATAGTTTTGTGTTCATGTTCATCTTATTTGAGGGATTAACTCGAGAGCAGCGTCAGATTTTTATCACTTAACAGTGCGTCTCGGTTGAGTGAGGAATCAACCACACCGCTCACTCTAAAAGAAAATTCAGAATGAAGTCTGCAGGAGTTTCATTTCAAGTAAACAGAACCATGAGCGGCTGTGCCACAACCGCGTATCTTCCAAGTAAGACGTTACAGAATTCGTTTCAGCCCTTGGCAGATTGCCATTTCGTTAACGTTCCTTTTTATCAGATTAATATCGCCATTAACTATCTGAAGCAGAAAGTGTTCAGTCCAGACACTATTGTATTGGCGTGGATAGAGATATACTCTGGGAA